CTCCAAGCTCGCTCCTACAATCTCAATACAAATTATTAAACTAAACGTGAGATTGTAGTCCATCACAAGAGTGAGCTTGGAGCAGTAGCTACTTTGCAACAGACACAGGGACCATGGGGAACAAAAGTAGCCCCCCTCCAGAAGGAAGGAGAGTGTCAGCACCGATTCAGAAATGATTTGGCTCTACATTATACACAAATAAGGTACAGTATTGTTAATAATTAAGGTACCTAAAAGCATTTTTAAGATTTGACCTGAGTTTAGCGTCACTTTAAATATTTACATGATCGTGGTACTGCATGGCTGCAATATTAAGCTCTGCACCTCTGTTGTACTTGTTCTGTTACAAACGACCTTCCTCCTGTAAATGAGAAACAGCCAATTAAATTATATTATTTTATACTATGTCATATCATTCATTTATTTATATAGATATGTGCATCATTGGAAACAATAATAAATACATCTTTGAAATACCTTAAAATGTTATTATTTTTAGAAGGTGTATCTATATAAATGGTCCCAGTCCAGTGTTATCCCCAGGAATATGTAACCAACACAAGGTAGGTATTCAGTCTTCAGAGTGATGGGTATGCATAGGGTCTGTAGGGAATGGTCAAGGAGTGCCCGAGAACCACTCTTATTTGGTGTATAGTTACTATTTCATATCACTATCACTATGACTATACAGACAGATGTTTACTTCAAGTAGACCTGTAATTTGCCAGTCAGAGCAAAGTAACAAGTTCACTTACCAGCCTCTTCCTCCACGCCATTGCTGACATTTATCCACACTTCCCAACCATCCTGCTGGAGCCAAATGAAGAAAGGTCAGGCCTAGTGAGCACTCTCCTCTATACCCAGAAGTCAGCCGAGCCAAATGCCGCTTGGCGGCATTCGGCTATTCTCTCACTGCTGTTCGGGATCTTTCAGAATAGCCTGAACAGCAGTGTGAAGCCTGCCGGAGGTTCGGCTCAGCCGATCCAGATGTTGGATCGGCTGAGTCGAACTCCTTCTGCACTTCAGGTCAGCCGAACATGCTAAGCATGTTCGGCTGATCCGAAGCCACACGAAGCAAGCCGATGTACGGCTGATTTCAGCCGATGTACAACTGAAATCAGCCGTACCAGCCTGAAGTGAATAGCCGAACAGTGTTCGGCTCACTTCACTTCTGATCGGTCATTCACTCGGCTGCCCTCGGCAGCTTTGTGAATAGACCCCATTGTGTACGCCGTTTCACTCCAACAGGCAAATGGAGCTGTTGCAATGTAATGTATGTGAGTGCAAGTAAGTATGAGTGGGCAATTTAGAGTTGTGGAGGGGGGCATCTGTCAAGTGAGCCTTTTGCTATGCCATGAACACTTTGCTGTGCAAAAGTTGGGCATGGAAATTGTGACCTAGAAGGCACACACATGCACATAGTATGATGATATTTATCTTCTCAAAGTATGAGTATGATTTTTTTTTTGCATACATAAGTAAGTCCTGATTCCACTATATAGAATTCCACTATATAGCACTTAATTACACCCCATTTAGAACAGTTTGTCCAGTTTTGGAGACCCCACCTATAAAAAGAGACCAGGGGCTGGCCACAAAAATGGTGCAAGTTTTAAGGGCTAAAATATATCAGGAAAGACTGGAAGAACTTAGAATGTACAGACTCGAAGAAAGAAGTGGCATGATTGAGTTCTTTAAATGCATTATGAGTGTGAATAAGTGTCAGGAGGACAGTATTTCCAATATGACGCTGAACTCAAGAACAAGGGTGCAGGACTTTAAGCTACCGGGAGGAAAGTTCCATAGTAACAATAGTTATTAATTAAATAATTTCATTTTCAAGAAATACTTCCTTTGGAGTCCAGTGACGTCAACACTGAGGGGGTTATTCACAGAGGAGCCGAAGAATCCAGCCGCAGCTTCTGCTGATCCTTTGGCTCTCTTCGGCCGCCGGAGCCCTTTGGTTCTGGCCCCCCACTGAAAATAGCCTCAACTGTGATATTGACATATTAATGGGCGGCGGTATTTACATATGAATAAGCCACAACTCATTCTCCCCAAAAAATGTCAGCGCGTCGCTGGAGTGTTCGGGCTTCGCTTGAATAAAAGGTGGCAACCCTAACCGTGGGACCCGAGTAGTCTTTCTAGTATCTAAAGTGACACATTAGAAGTAATTTTAGAAGTGTCCAGACACATCAAAAACCACACAGGAAACAGAGCAGTGTGTTTGCACCCTGCTAAAAGTATCACATGGCCTCTGCTGACTCAGAACAACCAGCCATTATGCTGCAGGGAATCAGCATTTGTCATTTTTTATGAAATATTTCTCTTTTTAAATGCATATTGCCCTTTAATGACCCTCCCTGCACACATCTTTCTGCTTTAACATGACCGTAGTGAGAAGAGGTCAGCAAGGACTTTGTGCAGGGCACTACTGGACATCCCAGATGGCAAGAAATTGTGCTGCAAGTTTGAAAATGACTTGCTAAACTATTGCAGACTTGCCAAGCTTCACAATTGTGTTGCACAATTACATCAAATCTGCATTACAAGTCTCCAGACCAGAGAGCTTGCAGAGCTCTTGCTAAGACCTGCAGGACTCTTGCTGTAGACTTGCCAAGCAAATTTGCTACAAATTCAAAAAGTGTCAACTAGAACTTGTGCTGTGAGTGTTCTGCAAGTCTACAACTTGCCAGGAATATGTGCAGCAAGTTAACAAAATTACAATTTCACCCCGCCACAAGTTTGTAGCAAGTTATCCTTGCTATCTGGGATTAGGTCAGCCCTGCATGGTATGTCTTATCTTGTGACAAGTTACTAATTTAATCATACGTAGAGAATATCAGGAGACTGGCAAATTGTAATTGTCAGACAAATACTACATGATACATGCAAGAAAATAGGTATGGGATCTTTTGTTAGGAAGGGCTCCTGGGTATCCACAGCAAAGTTACAACATTGGCATAACAGTGTCATCACATATAAAGCAATGACATTATTATACATGGTGCACTAAAACCATTGCACAGTTACAGACTGGTAATCAGAGGTTCCACAGGCAAGCTGGCTACAGACATTATAGGATAGTCAGAGGTGCATGCATGGTCTAATCATTTCATGTTGTCTACTGAAACAGCTACCATCCCACTCCAACAATCCCAATGTGGGTAACATAAGCACAATAGAAATTGGCCAAGGGTTTTTAAACCTGCCAGAAGCTCCGTAGCTGTGCCATGTGAAGTTGACATAGAGCAGGTACAAGCCCCTCTAAGACCTAAATCAGACCTCTAACCTGGTTCTCCTGCCACAGGTTACATGGTAAAAGAAGTGCAGAAGTGATATATTCGATAGGGGAAAAAAAATCACTCTTCTGTTATCCCACCATTGCTGACCACAAGACAAAGTGCTGAGGCATTGATCCCTTGAATTTAGCCAAAGGGGTTGAGAGCCCTGACTGGCATGCTCTACTTGAACTTATTCCCTCAATCCCCTGCCACTCCATTCAGCTGTCAAGACTGCAAAAAAACTAGTACTTCCGAGTATGGAAGACCGCGTGACTCATCCAATGTGACAGAACCAGGCACCAGTACTGTCAGATGGAGACAGACCTCGGTAAGTTTCAACTTGGGCAACTCGTAGGTTATACTACGAGTTGCCCAAGCAGGAGAAGCCTCTATTATACTGAGAAGCTTCTCCTGGTCCTGGCAGCCAAATGAAGTTGCAGGAGAGAGAAAGAAAATTGTGCCGGTCATGTAGGGGAGTGGAGCTTAAAGAGAACCTGTTGCTTTGTCCTGCATGGTTGGTGAAGAAAGCATTTAAACTTTCAGAGTGGCACCTAAATTCACATAAACCTGGTCAGCACCCTCTCCAAATACAGCCCAGAGGTATGCGTGCCTTTGCCTCTTAGCTTCTGATTTTCAACATCAATCTGTAACAAGCTTGAGTCATTTTAAAGCTGTATTAGTTCCCCGTTTTCACTTCTTGCTCTTATTGAACATGTGCTTCCTTTTAAGTTTTTGATTGTGTATTTATTTCCTGGAGAACATCTTCTTCATTACACACGTCATTGCCTTCTAAAACACTCTAGCTGATTCACCTTTCTCAGACAGCTACTGACTACTTCAGCAACCAGCCTATAACTACTACAATATGCTGATCAAGTATTATTTTTTGAAGACTAGCCAGCTTGGCTTAACCCAGTTTCCTCGCAATTAATGAATTAGTAGTTGCATGTTATATATATACAGTGTATTTAAACACAGTATAGATATAAATAGATATATATCTATATCTATAGATATAATGTATATATGCAGTATGCTATATATATCAAATATAATTGTACAAATATTATATTGTTATATTGGAGTGATCCAATGGATTAGATATTATTACAGTGTGTAAAAAACAACATGCATTTAAAAAAAATTTAAGTATTAAAAACTTCTAAGAGTAAAGAAAAATTGTTTTACATTTGTCAGCATATAATTTTAAAAAAATGAACAGTGAATTTATTAAAACAGCATACTAAGTATCTTCTCCATAACAGTGTAAAAGTTAGGAAAATTATCAAGTAGGAAAATTGAGAAGTTGTTGTCAAGTTAACCAATGCATACTGAAGTTGCAAAAAAATATTTGGGACATCTGTTCTTCAATGGTTACGAAAAAAATCAAACTTACATTGAGCATTAAATTTCAAAATGCAAAGTGATTTGACAGAAATGGAAATGATAAGATTTTGGCTGTTGCAATTTCCTTTTCCAGCGTTGTGTTTCTGCTCAGTGATCCAGAAGAGTACAAATGATGTAAGTAAGTTCTCTGATTTATTCTGCAAGGGATTAAATGTTGCAAGAAATCATATTCATTTGTGGTCTGTCGCAATTTCCACGTGAGCTTTAGAAATGAGTTCAAGAATATCTGTCATGCCTGATGTTGTAACAAAATAGTATATAAAGGTGGACTCCATCTGGAGGGAATTAGATAAACACAGCAGAGCCCGATAGAGATGCTGAGGCTACTGAATCCACAGGTGAGATGACTGAATATAGATCTGTTGCTACTCATAGAAAATATATATTAAACGTATTCTTTCTATGTCTATACAGTATATGACTGCTGTAATGGGCATAACTAACTGCAACTAAAAATCTTACTTTTTTAAAGTCCATTCCAGGGTGTGTGTAGGGGAAGGGCAGCCAAGAGTTCAGTTTTAAAGAGTAACTCCACTTTTGTTCAGAAAAAAAAAACAATTCCCTCTGGGTGATCAATGTTAGAAGGATTTTAACAAACTCTGTTGCAGATTGCTACCTGTTTCTGTTCTGAAGACTGTTCAACCACGCCCCCCGGCCCGCAGTGCAATCACATGCACCGAAACACGTGGCACATTAGTGCCTGCGTTCCGGTTCAGTGTGATCTGCAAAAATGCTGTAGATCTCACTGGAACTGAACGCAGGCACTGATTTGCCAGACGTTCTAGTGCGGGTGATCCCACTGCGAGCAGCCATTGACTTCAATGCACTGTCAGTCCCCTCCCGCCCCTGAATGCAGGAAGCCTGCTGGAATGCGATTCAGTGTGTTCCAGAGCCTGACAGTTTAAGGTGTGAACCAGCCCTTATCCAGCATGTCTTTTCCAGACTGATTGATGAATGGGAAGGTCTGGTTTCATTATAATCAACTGGTGGGTTTTCTGTGTTGTAATGAGAAAAGTTGCAGTGTCTGCACTCCTTTAGTAGTAATTAAACTTTAGGGAGTATCTCACCATTGTCACCGAGAATGACATTCCTATTGCAGGGAATGCCTAAAATTTGACTTGAATGTACAGACTTAGTTCAGACTTTTGGGAAAATCAGTCAGTCAATCAATCATACAAGCAGGAAATTACATTTTTGGGGGTGTTCTGTACACCAACTGTTTACAAAACACCTCCATTTCCCCATGCTGCATTGAATATTTGTGAGAGTTTTAATTATTAGAGAGGCTGTGCTTTTAAACAGAAAGGTACTTTTTAATAACATTATATTACAAAATGGCTTGTGTAGCAATTATATATGCTGTATTCTTTATTTCCATTTTTTTTTTTTTAAAGTGGAATTTCCCTTTAAGTTTTGGTTAAAGTGAAGAAGAGCTTAAATGTCTACCAGCATTTTTTTTTACCATCTGTGTCCCCATTGGAGAGAATATCACATACTGTCCTGGAGACACTCAGACCCACAGGGTATCACTGGGGCAAAAAGGGATTAGGTACATAGGTACACATGAAAGCTTGACAGAATTGGTAATCCTTTCTAAATGGAAAACATTTTTATTGTGGATTTTGTCTCTTTAGAGAAATGTCCTAGAACATCTTCTGGGCAACCAGATAAGAAGTTAGGGGAAATCTTCTAAATTAAGGTAACAAGTGTTTAGATCCTAACCAGCTCCACACATTTATTTTTATTTTTTAATATTGTGGCTGTACTGTGGTTTTAATTGATACAAAACCGGTGTGTGTATCTTAGGGTTGTGGGTGGGTGTGGGTATCTTAGAGCTTGTGTGTGCAAGGTGCACTTACTGAAAATCATTTTTCGCAAATATTAGTGATGTAGGAGGCCAGTGGGTTAGATGTCTTAGGGTCTGACTAATTAAAATTACTCTGTCACTATTTTTAAAATGTTAGAAGTGGTGTAGGTTAGTAAGCATGGTTAAAAGAGAACTAAAGCCAAACATATTTTTGCTAATCCACTACTGTACTCCTGTGACTCAAACTCAGCATATAGCAGAGTCATACTGCAGCCAGGAGGGATCAATATTGTCGGGATCCACCACATTGCCTGATTGACTGCTGGTTCCACCTCTCTAGATCCAGAGCCAGCTGTGTCAGCCCCCTCCTCTGTCTGTCCCTCCAATGAGTTTTGGAGGAACGGAGAGAAGTGGGGTGAATCCCTGCAAGATATACATAGCCAATTAATTTTGGGGGTCAGGAATCCCCCTTCATCCGGACATAAACAATCAGGCAGAATTGCAAATCCTTGGTGTGAAAATACCTTTACCAGCAGTTCAGAATCTGTACAAGTGTACAAGACTCCATGAGTGTCCCGCTGTCACCATTGGCAAAGTAAATAAAGTTTTTTTTTTTACTCAAGTTATTTCCTGGTGCTCTTGTTTAGTCTTTTTTCACATAGATTTCTTATTCTGGGCATCCCCAGCCTTCTTTGTGAAGAGCTGCTGAACCTGAGCCATCAGGCCCAAATATTGCTCCTATATAATTAGTTATGGACCAGCGCTTGATCCCCACTCACCCTTTGGGTATTGTATTCAGACAGCCGCAACATTAGTTGTTGATGCCGGATTACCCCAACAGTGACTAAATTTGAGGGTGTAGTCACTGTTCAGTTGAAAATGTTCCATCTCCTCCTTATGACAACCCTAACAATGATCTTACAATAAAATAATTGCCTGAACATTCAACCTACCCCCAACGCCTGACTCTACCACTTAACCTAACCATTAAATGATAGTTAAAGTTATGAAAATTAGTATTGGATAGAGTCCAGAAGGATTAGAAATTCTGTAAACATATTGCTGTTTGTCCCATTAGGAGATGACTCCACACTTCTGTTAGGGAACCAAGAAACCAGACAGAAACTTAAGTGCTGCTTAAACATAAAAGGAGTTTATTGAGAAAAATAATAACCAAAAATTGCAAAAAAAAACAATGTAGGAAGTTCAGGACGTAGTCGATGCCAAGCCAGAGGTCAGATGTCAAAGCGGGTAGTCAGGCAAACCAGGTCAGGGAACTCTGTCAGCAGAATGAACAGAAACAACAGCCGGAGTCAGGAACCAGAAGATCAGTCAGCCAGGTTTATACACGGAGAACAGGAACAACAGCAGCGCACTTGGTTGATCAGAACAAACGCAAGGGCAAGGACTAAATGTACAACCTGATAGTTAAATAGTGAACTGGTGTTTGCATCATCACTCTGAGACAGGAATTTGCCAGATGTTTTGCTAGTAGTTGCAGAATTATGATGTTCATGGGTTTGGCCGTAAGAGGGCACCAAAGAGGAACAGCAGTGTCAAACATACTGCAAAACAGGCAATGCACAGCCGACTGGAGGAAGAAGGCTAAGAAACCCTGACAACTTCCTGTGGTGTTCAGACATATAAAAAAAAAGGCAGGCAATAAAAAAGAATGCTCTAGTAGAATGGGAAAGAGTTAGAACTCCTGTCAGGTTTTTAAGCCCATATGTGTCCCAACCGGGAAGATTTCCTCTTCAATCTTGCATCGTTGACAGGAACAGGAGCGGAAGGTAAAAAAAAAAAGAAAACAGCAATGAAAACCTATTAGTGGTTCTAACATTTGCCTGCACAGTCGGGCTTTATGGCTTAACTCTTGGCCCTAATGCATTGGCATCACACTAACCTTCACAATTGCCTTTTGTGTAAAGCATAATATGTGTCTTAGGCCTTGGGGAAACGCTTTCAGGAACTTCCTCCTGGGTTTTTCCAAAGTAAATAAGTAATAAGTGTTTAATTGTTTATACAACTGTTCTACAGTGTGCAATTAAGGATCCTTAAAAAAACACGGATATGCAAAGCAGCTTTGTCATAAAATCATGAAAGATAAAAAGTCAACTTTTAAAACAATGCTGCAGTGTCCAACCCTTGGCATGAAATTGTGAGGACTATTTGCCCACTGTCAAGCCCCTAATACCAGTTTCAGCAAAGGAAAGCCAAGCCGTCAAAGAACACAATGGTTAGACACCACAAAAGCCGACGCCAGCCAGAACATGAAACAACTAATAGAAGCAGTGCAAGATCGAAAAATGAGGAGAGAACTGGCCCATAGGATCGCCGAGAGTCAGATATGACAGAACGTATACCACACAAACCAGTTTTAGCTCTAAAGAAGTACTCAGTGGCATACATATTATAACTCGCACCCAGGAGGATTGTTTAACACTCCCATATACCAAAATTATTTTCAGCAATAATCATGAAATTGAAAGTCATGCATGCTGGGAATGGCACTAGAATTAGCTGGTGGAGGACTGAAGCTCAGAGACGCTGTCTCGTGCATAGTTATCTATATTTTAAATTAGTTAGAAGGGAAACCTTGATGGTATCAAGAAGAAAATGCTGTCCGCCGAACACCTGAAGCCATAGCCAATAAAGTGGGAGTGGCTTCACCGTGTATGGCTTGTAGTGCGGGAGTAAAATATGCCCAGAAAAGGTGTCATTGGCAGTAATAGTAACCTTCAGCATGGTGTCAATAGTAACCTTCAGCAGGGGGTCCCCCTGGCAAAGCACCTTGTCCCCATGTCCTTGAGGACAAGGGCCTCTTCCCCACAACTCTGGCCTGATGGTTATGGGTCTGTGGGCAGAAGGGCTTATATGAATCTGGGTGCCCCCTTTCATCTGGGCCCCCCCCCCCTTTCCTGCTCTGCCAGGCTGCCGCTTGGATCAAGGGTCTGGTAAGGGATTTTAGGGGAGACCCCAAGCTTTTTTGCTGTTGTTTTTTTGGTGTTAGGATCCTCCCTAAAATTCCTACCAGACCTTAAGGGTCTGGTATGAATAGTGGGGGAAGCGTAAGCTGCTTTTTTTGTTGTTGTTGTTTCTGTGGACTGTCAAAAGTTGACTGTCAAAAAAAAACAAAAACATTTATTGTCACTTTTCTGCATCATTTAACTCATTCGAAATTCTTTCAGACCCGAATCCCGAAAAACAAAAATAACAAAAATACGAAACAAACCGAAACAAATTTTGTGCCGGCGCACATGTCTACTGCTAAGATGCGGGCGGCCTCACAGCATCATTGGTTGTTATGGTATGCCTGCCTGTGTCCTAGCAACCAAAGGTGCTTTGCAACCCAGACTCTAGCATTCTAGCAACCAATGATACTATGTGGACTGCACATACAGACAGTGGCGGCTTTACAGTATCATTGGTTGGGTTGGTGCCTCCGCCTACATCCTAGTAAGCAATGACGCTGTGTGACTCAGCCACTAGCATCCTAGCAGCTCATGAGGTTGTGCGGGTTGCACGGTGTCCTTAGTTTCTAGTATACAGGGCAACCCTGGGTTTGGTTTGCCTGAACATTCGCCGAATCTGGATTTCTGTCTGGGCTTGGTGATTGTAAAAGTGAACAAAACCAAGACCAGCTTGCTCATCACCAGTCAGGCAGCCAGGCCAGATGAAGGAGATTCTCCAAGCACTATAGCTCTTGACGAGAGAAAAGATATGTGACATGGAAGACAGGATAGGTAAGTATAATATCTCTCTATTACAGGGGAACCTTCTTGTCTGCTTTTCAATTGTGTGACAAGTTCACTTTAAATGACAGATTTGTTCAGCTTGCTCTGCATACTTAAATAAAAAGGTGTGGTTGAGGATTGCTAACCTGCTAAAGTACCTGGATCATTGCTTTGGCAGGAGTTGGAACAGCAGGTGTCACCCAGTCTCTACACACAGTAAGTAGTTTAAAGCAACTATTAGTACATGTGTAATAGGGATAACGAGCAGGTTGAAGAGTTTGTTCAATACCAAGTGTTTCATATGTATGCAGGGCAGCCATCAGAAATTTTGGGGCCCCTTACACGGCTTTAGGCCCGTAATAATCCCCCTCACACCCGCACCTCCGCCACACTGAGCCAGTCACACTGTTATTATACATGTATATAGCTCTGACATATACCGCAGTGCTGTAAAGAGAACACTGAGCCAGTTACATCAGTCTCTGTACAGAGGAGCTTACACTCTAATGCACAATGGCAACAGCTGTAGGGGGACTACAAATCCCAACAATACATGTATACAGCAATGCAGAACAGTATTTGAATTTGGCTCAGGGCTTAGCGGCTCGCAGGGCTCGGTGATCCGCTGACTGCAGAGCTCGGTGACCCGCTGGACTCTGGGATTAGTGACCCGCTAGACTCTGGGATTAGTGACCCGCTAGACTCTGGAATTAGTGACCCGCTAGACTCTGGGATTAGTGACCCGCTGGACTCTGGGATTAGTGATCTGCTGGATTCTGGGATTAGTGACCCGCTGGACGCAGGGCTTAGTGACTTGCTGGACTCAGGGCTTAGTGACCTACTGGATCTCAGGGCTTAGTGACCCCCTGGATGCATGAGCTGAGTGACCTGCTGGACGCAGAGCTGAGTGACTTGCTGGACGCACAGCTGAGTGACCCGCTGAACACAGGGCTGAGTGACCCACTGGACTCTGCGATTAGTGGCACGCTGGACTCAGAGCTTGGTGACTCTCTGGACGCAGAGCTTGGTGACCCGCTGGACTCAGGGCTTGGTGACGCGCTGGACGCAGAGCTCGGTGACCCGCTGGACGCAGGGCTCAGTGACCCGCTGGACGCAGGCCTCGGTGACCCGCTGGACGCAGGCCTCGGTCACCCACTGGACGCAGGCCGGAAGCTCAAGTATCGGGCCAGGTATCTGAGCATTTGGGCCAGCATGAGTACTCACCCAAATACTCGGCATCAGCACCGATACCGATATTAGTATCGGTGCATCCCTAATTTTAACTGTTCATTTAGCTGTTTGCCTGGAGTTCTATTTTAAAAGCTAACCCACCGAATCAACAGAATTCCGTGATTCACCCAGTTCGTTCAAATCTGTATGCACATCTCTAGGGGACAGATATGGGAAGATGCACGTCTATATACATCTGGCCAACCCATAGATTACATGGGTCTGTTTTTCCTCCAATTCCAAGATGTAATGGGCACAGATGTAAAAATTTACGTGACAAGGGCAACTTAGTGTTTTAAGGTTCTCTAACGAGTCAAGTCAAAGCATCGCCATTTTATTGTCAACGTTTCGATGAAGCTTAGTCCATCATTATCAAGACTGAGCTCTGTCGAAACGTTGACAGTAAAATGCTGATGTTTTGACTTTTCTCCGCTATGCTTATCTATTTCTAAGAACCTTAAAACACTAAGTCACCCTTCACACATAATATGTGACATCCGTATCCCTTATATCTTTGGATTGGCGAGACCTACTTTGGATTTGTATGGATTTTTGTGCATGAGCACCTGGGCAGTTACCTACAAATACAGTGTGGTGGCTACCCTAAGACTACATACAGTGCGGGGGATTTATCAAAACCGGAGCAGACAAAATCTGGAGCAGCTGTGCATGGCAACCAATCAGCTTCTCTCTTTCATTTTCAAATCTTAACTGAACAAAGTGAAGATAGAAGCTGATTGGTTGCCATGGGCAACTGCTTCAGTTTCTATTTGCTCCAGTTTTGATAAATTCCCCCCATCATACTGTATATTAGGGATGCACCGAAATGAAATTTTTAGACCGAAACACAAATTTCAACATTTGTTAGGCAAAAACCGAAAGCAAAATTCCTTTTTTCGTTTTAACTTTTTAAAATTATTTTTTCATTATTTTATTTATTTTTTTACTTTACTGTTAGGGAGGTTGAGGAGATATCAGGGATCTATACAGACCCCTGATATTTGCCTTATAAAATAGAAAAAAAGATTATATCTTATATCCTGTTGAGATCAAATAGGAAGTGACAGGAAACGACTGTATTGGCAGGAAGTGACAGTAATCAAAACTTGCCAGAGGTTCTTACCCATTCCGACTCTATCAAAAATAGGGGGGGAAAACTTTGACTAGAGTTGGGCATCTTTTTTGCTTTTGTGGCTATTTGATGAACTTGGACTTTTGAGCTTTGCATCAGGTGAGTAACACACAGCTGCACTACAAATATGTGAGTGAATGCCATGTGAGTTATGCGGATATAAGCTGTCATTCACCTTACACCGCACAGATCTGTGCACATTTATATCCCCGGGCTTGATGATGCATCTAAAGTACTGTATATTTATGTACACCTCAACCTCTATTCCCCTTAGCGGTAATTCAGACCAATTTTTTTGACCTTGTCTTTTCAGATCCCACCAACCAGGATGTCCAGGGCCACGATTTGCTTTCTGATGCTTGGCATGCTGATCAGCCTTATTCATCTGTCCAACTGTCAAGATTGGCAGTCCTTTAAGACCAAGCATGTCGTTAGCTCACGAAACATTAACTGCAAGGAAAAACTGAATATTCAAAAAACCAAGAAAGGGCGCAGAGAACACTGGCTAGTTAACAAAGTAGTGATGAAAAACTGAAGGTGGTGGCACTTACGTGTGATTGAGTGAGTGGGACACGGATGTGTCATAAGAACCAGTTTGCTGGTTCTTATGAGAGCGCTGTTTATATGTTTTTTCAAGGAAAAACTGAAGTATCCCTTGTTCCTTCTCCATGGGAAGTGCAGAGCCAAGAACACTTTTATTGTTGAGTCCGAGAAAACAGTTCTGAGCATCTGCAGAAAAGCGATCAAGAAAAGGACAATTACAAGCCCCATGAAGGTCCGACTCGCCATCTGTCAAGAAAGGAAAAACACTCAATGCGCATATGATATTGAGGTTCCAAAAAATTCACAGATATGTTTGCTATGCTACAAAGGAAAGCCTATACACTTTGTCAAACAAGGAAAATGTTTGTAATGTCACTGCTGGTGAAAATACGGCGCTGGAGTTGTACACCCCATATCTGCATGATGGTGGGAAGAGTACTGCAAGATATTCACCCTCCTCTGTACCAAAGAAATCAATAAATGAACTAATCAACTAAAACATGAGATTGAAATAATCCCCTATGAGCAAAAATCAAATACCCCAAACTTTAAAAAAAAAAAAAAATGAGCAAATTAAGCAAACACAAATCTCTTGTGTGATCAGTTTTGTATGTGGTTGAACTTTTATGTTAACTTGTTAAAAAAAGAGGTAGAGAAAAGCAGAGCTAGTGCCTTCAACAATTTTACTGACCGCAAAAGTCACTTCCAAGAGTTGAAAAGCAAAATACAATTAAAAAGTTAGTTGATGTCTTCTTGGAATGAATACTGTAATGATTTGGGGTTAATTCTATGTAACTATGTAATTGTATTTCATTTGAAACTAATCTCTGTCCAAAAAAAGGGCTCCATGCAAAGAAGATAGTAAATACTCTCCTTCTGCCCATGTCACTGAGGGTCCAAAGAGTGCAGTGAGGGACCACTGAAGTGTCTCTTCTCTACAGCAGTGTTTAGTGGCATGAACAGCATTTACTACATACTTTGCAGTGGACCCTTTTAATGCAGTTTAATTAGTGAGAAGTTACAAACTTCTGTTTTATATATTTTTGACTTTTTTCTACTATTCTTGTTTTACAAAGTATTCACAGCACTATAGGTTAGCTAAAGAGACCACACAGTACTAATCATCTCCTTTCGGACAGGATGTCTCACTAAAACCTCAGACTGAGCTGTCTCAGACAGGATGAGTCACATAGGTAAATTTTACCTTCAGCAACACAGTAGAGAGAGTTAGCAATACTTGTAAGAAGAACTAAAAGCTCTGAAAACTAGCAAGAGAAAATAATATGTAATATTTCATATTTGCCTGACTAAAATATTTCATATTTGCCTGACTAAAAAATAAGTTATGTTTTTAAAATTTGTATTTGAAGTCCCAATCCCGGTAAAAAACATAAGGTGCAAAGTACTATACATTCACTTTAAGCCCCATTCACACTGAGCGATATGAAAATTGCGCGATTTTCAGCGCGATTTTATATGAGCGATATTGAGCGACTCGAAAAAAGGGTCATGTAGGAGCGACAAGCTACAGCGACGAGCTACAAGCGATATTGAGCGATATTGAGCGACGAGATGTGAACAGCTCCATTGAAATGGATTGGAGAAGCTACATAGAGCGATATCATGTGGAAATATGAGCGATATCGCTGCAAAAATCGCACGATAAATCGCTCAGTGTGAATGGGGCCTAAAACATGTATTAATGGGCTGTAGAAGTGAGTGGGTAAGAGGCTGAAAGAGTCCCATCTCATGGTCACTCCTGTTGTGAAGTTGTGATACACTTGCAAGCTTTCAGTTACAGGATTTTCCTGTCTCCTCCTGACTGTAAGTTACAGAAGAGCCCATAACCCATTCAACACTTGGGCAAATTCCTAGTACATGGGGTCAAGTGTTGGTAATCTTCCAACCCCTTTCTGCAATAATCCCTAACACCCAAGCCTTTGAAATTGGGAACACAGGGTTTACCCAGCATTGTGTTGCTTTATTTAGGAGGTAAGGCTCTGTTTTTTATTCACCATCCTGATGTTCCCAACTGTTTCACAAAGGACTGGTACAGTCATAGGTCCTTTTGCTGAACATACCAACTGGAATACCCAAAGTGCTCAACTGGGAGTCGTCAGCAAATAGCATTGCCGGTCCCACTAATACATTAGCTCTCATCACACCTACTGTGAGTAAAATATCACCTACAGTCAGGGATAAAACAAAGTGTGATTTGGCCCTATACACAAGGGATGATCTGTAAGTGAGAGTAGATGCCACTATCCACCATCCAACAGATACAGCAATGTTTACGCTGCTCTCTGTATTTTTCTGACTCATTCATAAAATGCAGGTAGTGGTGTGGAAGCTGTGGTGTTCTCCCTACATAACTCTTCACAGGACACCCAATGAATGGAGGAGAAGCCGGTTGATTGATAGTTCATGCTACAACACACATTGATAAATATTTTAGATTGGGTTTAAATCTTTTTTTAATATATATATCAAAGAAGATAGACAAAAGATGCCCCTTTGCTGGTAGCCAGTACTCTCCTCTGCTCTTTGATGTCCTTGTTTGTGAACGGCATTGTATGGGATGAATTTAGAAACCTGCCACTGGTTGGGCAGTAAGAAGAAGCAGCTTTGGGAGGATTGGTTGTACGGAGATGAGGAAGCCTGCGGGGGCAAGGTATAAGGTAAGTATATCACATTATTCATTCATTCATTTTTCTTCCTCAGAGTTCAGCTTTAGCTTCTTATGCTTATCAACATTATGTCCATAGTATTACAGCAATCCTTTGTACACAATCATGTTTGCTAAACTGTGGTTGGAATTGCAAGTTTTCTGTCTGTTTCAATGAGATAGTGAAAAAAACTGTTCACACATGACCTCTAATCTGATCACTGCTATGAAATTGTGAGTCAGGTACAAATAAGACATATATTTAAAAAAAATACAAACTTAGCACTTCTCAGTGTTTGTGAACCTTGACAATTTGATCCCATACTATACAGAACTATAACTCTAAAATACTGGGCATCAGCTCAGTAAGGACCAGTTTGCACTATTGCTTTGCAATGTATGCATGTATGATAACGCATATGATGTATGTTTGTGCACTAGGGAGCAAATCAAAAACACGGGTGTTCTGTGACCTATACCTCTCTACCAAAGTTCTTACATAACTTAAATAACTGCAAACAAAAGATCAGCAATGTGGGGGGTTAATTAATCAGTTGTCACTGGTGGGTCAGTGAGTGCTTTGGGGCAGCTATGGAACTACGTACCCTAGAGTTCAGCTATAGGCCAATATAGCTCTTAATTAACAATTCTCTTGTAGGTATGAGCTCAGGTTAAGATCGATGCCAGGCCAAACCTGAGCTCCTTTAAAAATGGAAGAAGCTCTTCCTACATGGAAAGAAGCTCCTTCTGTTCTACCCAATCATCTGGGAAAATTCCCTGCCCACAGCTGCATGGTAACAAAGGGGTGGGATGTAGTGACATCACTGAGCTTATATGGTCACTCGGCTATATTTGGTCAATTACCTGCCCTCAGCTGCTTGGGCCATTGGCCATGGCCCTTCATTGTTTGTGTCTATTAAAACTGATGCGTTTTAGGGGCGCACCCCCTTCATCAGTGTAAATTGATGGTCTATGCATGAGGTATATACTGTACATGTGGTATATAAATTCTACTTAAACCAACCATGTGTCACCCAGTCACGTGGTTCTAAATCCGGGGATAACATTATTAATTCCAACTTACTCACCGCTACACAAGACAACATAATCGAAGCGGTAGAACACACCAGAAATCATATATGGGTAATGATGTATTTGCACCCAAGGGCTTCTGGTCCTGTGCAGCAGTGGAAGACTTCGACGTTGTTGTGGGTAGCTGACTTCCTCAATGAAGAATGCCCTATAAAGAACCAGACTGAATATTATGTGATCTGCCAAGACGGCCTTTTTCATTGGATTTGTGAAGAAAATACCAACCACCATTGGTCATATCTGCCTGTGTACATCCTGCTGGTTTTCACTTGTACAATAAGCTGGTAACAGTGACATGAAAAGTAATGGGAAATACAACAGTTTAAGGTTGTCACTGGAATAGTTGGTGGGGGAAATCTTCCAATGAGGACACTTGTTCCACTGACACCCGTCTAGGAAAGGATTTCCCTTCACTTTGGAGAGATTTACTCTCAATTTTCACTATGTTTCCAGAAAGGGAATGGAAGGGAAATGGACAGCTTAGAATAATTAGAACTATAATTAGAAATGAAACCAAAACTTTTTTTAGTTTTGAATAGAGTAAGGGAAGGTTATAACCCCTGTTAGCTTTTTTTTGCCATCTGTTTCACATTGGGGAGATTTCCCTACACTTCCTATCCAACAAATCCAACAGTAAGTGAGAAGAAACCCCTCCGAATAGAGGAAAATCCCTGGTGGTCAGCAGGGTCACCAGAATAAGTGTGCTGAATGGAAGATTTCCCATCTATTCCTGTTTTGGTGACAATCTGAAGCTTTTGATTTTCTTGCAATGGTCACGAAGACAAATAGGGAGGGTAAATCTCCCTAATGGAAACACAGACAGCAATAAAACCTGACAGGTGATGTAATCCCTCCCTGCTCTATCCAAAACTATAAATAAATGTTTTGGTTTCAGTTGCAATTTAAGTTTCTCATGTACTTAAATGTGCTTTTTAAAAGCGTCATGTACTTGGCCGGCACTGAGCCGGAGGAGGAACGGTCGATTCCCATGCTTATGCATATGTAGGACAACATAGAGCAGTGAGTTCAATATCTGTTGGTCGCCGCAGAAGTCAGAAAAGAAGATTTCAGTGCCCAGCAGAGGTTTCTTTTGCCCCTGGGGGATGACAACTATTAAACGGATGAAAGTAAGTTGCAACCTTTACTGTGGCTAAGGGGGGAAAAAAAAGAGAGAGAGCGGCAGGGTCTATATAACAAGACACAACAAATACAAAAACTGACTGGAGCTTTACCATATGAAAATGAAAAAAAGGTTTTAGATTGGGGTGGGCAACCTCGGAGCTATTGATGCATTGCAAGACTCTCACGGCCACATACATGACTCCCTGTGGCTGAATAATCATGGGAATTATAGTTTCACCACAGCTGGAGTGCCAAGGTTGCCTACCCTTGTTTTAGATTCTCTTTTAACATATAACATATTTCTAAAAAAGAGGGGGGGGCTGTAGGTTCCCCTTAACTGTGTATTGTTAAACTACGAGCAGCAGACCAATATTATGCATACGATAATGTTAGCTAAGCTGTGGTTAGAACAATGAGGTTCCTGTCCGTTAGTGAGTGTAACATGGTGAAACTGATGGTAAACATGATATGCCTTCAATCTGATTACAGATCA